AACACCATGAGACAACCACATAGGTACAACCTCATCTGACCATGATCTTAAAAAGGTCTCCACTTTGCCTTTGTTTTGTGTTTTTNGTTCATGTCAATTCGAGGTCTTGTCTATATTGGCCATGTTTTTATTACATGCCTCCTGTCTCATAGGCCATTTGATTCGGCCAAAATCCAACACCATGAGACAACCACATAGGTACAACCTCATCTGACCATGATCTTAAAAAGGTCTCCACTTTGCCTTTGTTTTGTGTTTTTCTGAGGAAACATTTGCAAAATACTTTAATATGAGGATTTTATTGTCAGAATTTTATTGTTGCTTTTTCAATCTAAGGACCCAGAAAGTTAAGCAGCCTTGCAATTTTAGATATTAATCTAGAACTTGACAGAAAATAAAAATAAAGTTAAAGCGAGTTTGAGTTTAGTGTTATCGATTCGGATAATAAATAAATAGACTTGTTAAACACGTCAAATAAATGAATTATGGATAACATATTATCAAAATCTGAAGGGGTATCTCTTGAAATTCAACATTCAATTAATAGAGTGGATTATAATTTTTTAAACTATGAAAATAATTCCTATAATCAATCAAAAATTTAGAGGACGTCATTGTAATTATCCTGACCTTTAACCAAGTACCAGGTAGTAGTGTCACACGGTACCTACACTTAATAAAAAATTATTAAAGCATTGTTTATCGGACCCACAAATTATTATTTTTTAAAAAAAAAATCTGATAATTTTACAACTTAACATTTTAGTAGTCATGTGACACTTGATGTCTGGTGAGCACTGAGTATTTACGGGNAAATTTTAGATATTAATCTAGAACTTGACAGAAAATAAAAATAAAGTTAAAGCGAGTTTGAATTTAGTGTTATCGATTCGGATAATAAATAAATAGACTTGTTAAATACGTCAAATAAATGAATTATGGATAACATATTATCAAAATCTGAAGGGGTATCTCTTGAAATTCAACATTAAATTAATAGAGTGGATTATAATTTTTTAAACTATGAAAATAATCCCTATAATCAATCAAAAATTTAGAGGACGTCATTGTAATTATCCTGACCTTTAACCAAGTACCAGGTAGTAGTGTCACATGGTACCTACACTTAATAAAAAATTATTAAAGCATTGTTTATCAGACCCACAAATTATTTTTTTTTTTTTTAAAATCTGATAATTTTACAACTGTCAATAATTAATTGAGAATTTATAACATTTTAGTAGTCATGTGACACTTGATGTCTGGTGAGCACTGAGTATTTACGGGAACTTTAGGTGCCAATGAGTATCAGTTAACACCAGAAAGTTCAATATTAAGGCCTAATGACTGAATTTGACAAAATGCTTCGGAAATCAACTGATGATGTCTTGTTGAAATATTTTGCTTAAGTCAAAAATAATTTAATTAGTATTTTATAAAATTGATTTATATAANTTTCAGAAATCAACTGATAATGTCTTGTTGAAATATTTTGCTTAAGTCAAAAATAATTTAATTAGTATTTTATAAAATTGATTTATATAAATCTTAATGTATAAATAATATGATAAATATGTATATTTATATGTACTTTTGCTAAAACTGAAAAAACATCCGTCTACAGCTGGTTTCAGTCTACACCAACACCTACAATAGTCCTATACAGCTATACTCCATGGTCCACAACCTTATATATATGCATCCAACGTATACATACAATCATACGTACGTGGAGATAGAGAGAGAGAGTTGCAGACCTTCCATGCAGCTCAACTAAACGCTAACTTCAATACTTCAACGTTCATATGTGACTCCACAACGGACCGNTCCATGGTCCACAACCTTATATATATGCATCCAACGTATACATACAATAATACGTACGTGGAGATAGAGAGAGAGAGTTGCAGACCTTCCATGCAGCTCAACTAAACGCTAACTTCAATACTTCAACGTTCATATGTGACTCCACAACGGACCGGAACCAAGCATGGAAGTATGCAAACTACAAGAACAAGAAACAACNAACGCTAACTTCAATACTTCAACGTTCATATGTGACTCCACAACGGACCGGAACCAAGCATGGAAGTATGCAAACTACAAGAACAAGAAACAACAATTTCGCTTCACCCAAAAAAACCATTAAAAAAAACCACAATCAATGCACTGTTTCCAGTTCTTTGCCTTGGAACTTTTCCTTTGGCCACTTCTCTTCTTCCCTCGATACCCCACCTCTCTCTCTCTATCTAAGTCAAACCTTCCACTCTCTACAAATACCAACTATTCTCTCTCACCTCTCACTCAATATCTTACATATTTGACCATTTTTGCCTTGAAAAGTTGAGGTAAAAATGGTGCAACTACGTGAAAACAAAGAGGCCATGGGTGATATAGTGGAGGAGAGAGAGAAGAAACCCAAGTTTTTCATCAATGACAACATGGACGTGCTTATAGAGATATTGAAGAGACTCGATGGTAGGTCACTCGGTGTAGCGGCTAGTGTGTGTAGACTCTGGTGCGCCATAACTCGGCATGAGTCATTGTGGGAGCACCTCTGCTTCCACCACGTGTCTCCCTTGCCGGAGGGTGTCCGGACAGTGGTGGTGGCTCTGGGCGGGTACAAGATGCTCTACATGTTGTGTGTGAGGCCTGTGCTGAGTCGACTAGGGAGGAAGAGACTTGGGTTTTATGGTGGTGAGTCGGACTCGGACCTGGTGAAGCGAGTTTGGACTCGGCATGAGGTGGGACTCTCGTTGTCACTGTTTTGTGTTGATTATTATGAGAGGGTGTTGTTGGGAGGCGGCGGCGGCGGTAGTGGTGGCGGTGGGAGTGGGAGTGGGAGAGTCGGTGGTGACGCGTCCGCATCATCGCTCATGTTTCTGTGCAAGGCTGTGAACGTCTGATTTTATGACTTTGATTTGATGGCTTATGGTGGTGCCGCAGATGTGACGACGTCGTTTGACACGCTTCTAGGTCACGATCGACCAAGTGCAGCAGAACACATTCATAGTTTTATTTTTATTTTGTTTTTTTTGGGATTATTTTATTTACTAGGTGTAGAATGAAATAATCGAAATAACATTATTCTTATGTTTTTAATTAATTTTCTTTGTAAATTTTGTTGAATTATTTATCGGTCTACCGTCTTTTTAAAATAAATATACTAAAATACGATATACTTTAACTTATTTTTTAAACTCACTTTTGTTAAAAAAAAAAAAACTCGCTTTTATTATAAACTGAGCCAATAAACCACTTTTAAAAAAAAAATGTGATCTAATTACAAAAAAATTGTGGGTAAAATAAGTCACTTAAGGAATAAGGATGGCCGCCCTTAGGGGGTGTGAGAAATATTGAATTTAAGATCTCTTACTTGCAAGAAAACAGGTTTAACCACCGGACCACCTCTAAAGGTTTAGATAAAAAAATGTTAAAAGCGTGTTTACTAAACACGTTTTTTTTTTTAAAACGAAGTTATTGATCCCCTTTTTTTTCACAAAAGCGAGTTTATTGACTCTGTTTTTAAAAAATATCATAATTTAATAAATAAGTTCAAAAATATTACCAACAAACCTTTGATCCAACGAGATTCATTAACTTGTAAAAGAATTATTTTTTTAAAATCAAGGATTCAAGTTCCCTCCCCTCAAAAAAAAAATCAAAAATATTATATTTTAATATATTTATTTAAAAAAAAACTATACTCTTATAAATAACTCGACTAAAAATGTTTTATGATGGTTGATGACCCATATTGTTTCACATCTACTCTCTTAGGTCTTCCTACCAATAATTTTCATATATTGGTAACATGTCAGATCAGATGATAAGACTTTAATGGTAAGACCTCTAGATTTCATATTCAAGTTTTATAATAAACATTCTGGTTAATTCAACTTGCATAATTTCAAAGTAATAGAGGTTTTGCGCTTATTTTGAAACGAATAAAGAGGTTGAAATGTTTGAAGGGCAAGCCACAAGGTTTAAAAGAAATTTACCTTTAATTTTAACAAGCCCTATGATAGTAATTAAGTTGTTTTATGTTAAAATAATATTTGAGTTAATGTTAGGGGTATCCTTATTATTTTGACAAATATTACAGGTTATTATGCAACAAATTGAACCTATTTGGAGCTATTTTTTTTTTAGATAAAAAGTTACGGTTTAAAAAAAAATTCGCAAAATAGTCGAAGTTAAAAAAGTCTCTCAAAATCATTTGAGATGTTTTTTAAAAAGTTGAAAAAATTTATTTGCAATAACTTTCTAGCTTTTTAGATTTTATTGTTTCAAAATAAAAATATAATAATAATTACATGTATGTATAGATTATGTATTATACTTTCCAAAATATGAATTTTAAATTATTTTACATAATTAATAATATTTTATAAATATAATAAAATAAAAAATTATGTAAGATCTGTGACAAAACTCTAAAAAGTCGAAAGAAGAACTTATAAAATCAACCTAAATAAGTTTTTTTAGATCCAAAAAACTATTGTATAAGCTAATAAAAAAGTCAAGGTCCAAACGGACCTGATTTATTTTACTCTAAAATCCTTAAAAGTTATCTATTTAAGTTAACCTTAAACCGGCCCAATATACTTAACCTATTCTTAAAAAGAACCCGAAAAAAAAAAAAAGGTTAGGTGGTTGATAAAACTTATCACAAAACGTGTTTAGGGTCAACAACTTATTAACCACTTTTTTCACAAACTCAGTTTTTGTAATGTTTTCTTTATTTTTTTTTATTACTTTTCTCTAATTCATTCTTTTCATATGTGCTACCAAACACACACAAAAAAAAAAAGAGAGAGAACATTATTAAATACCAATCTTATGAATCCAGTTACTTTTAACAAGGTCCACTTTTCTCCGTAACCAAACGCACCCATCAAGGTTGGAGTGAGGGAAAACAGCAAGGCGGGTATGCGCATTACGCACCTCTGCGCACCGTTGGTTCCCTCGCCCATTAAATACTACTTTAATTTTCCTCCGTAATCATTACATTAACATATTTTTAACTACATATTTCTGGTCGGCGATTGGTCGGAATCTACATTTCTTCGCCGCCGTAACTTGCCGGAATCTGGCCCACAAATTCACTATTTTCTTATATCAGCCCTAAGCTTACGCTTTTTATTTTATCTTTTCTCTGTATAACTTAGCTTCCTCTTCTTTTCTTTTCTGTAGTATTTTACACTACAGATGTTCATCACTGAATTTTTTTTTTTTTTTAATTTGTTTGAGATCTGAAGCAAACTTGATGATCTGTGAAGCTTTTTGCGATCTGGGTCTTCTTCATTTCTTGCTCTGATTCGAATCTCAGTAAGTTGGGGTTTAATTCCGTGTTATTTAGCTCTATTTGTGGAGGAACCTAATGAAATATTTGAGTCTTCATTGTTNTGGTAAATGTTAAAATGAATCCATTGTTAGTGACATGTGACAGGTAAGAGAGTAAGGCTCGGAGAGAGGGAGAGAGGGAGAGAGAGAGAGAGAGCGCTCATTTTGATCTCAAGTTTTGACAGTAGATGTGATGTTTGCCANTATTTATTTGAATTTGGTATTTTGGGTGTAGTAGTGAACTGGGTGTGTGAGTTTGACTTTTGAGTTTGAATCTTTCGTACCGAATTGAAATATCTTGAAAGGGTCAGTGTTGGTTGATTGGTAAAAGTTAGCTGGATTTTTGGTAGTTTTTGGGTATATCATGAATTGGGTTTTTGATCTGGCGGTAACTTCTAAGTCGATATTNGAGCCAAACAGCATGGCAAAATTACCTGAATAAGGTGAATAATGGTAATGGATATCTATACTTACATAAGACTTTCTAGAGCACAGTAGCTCTAAGTTAATTTATTTGGTTGATTATTCATATATTTCTGTCTCTATCATTTTCTGGGATTTTTCCTGTTGGTGTCTCTTTCAATTGGATTGACTTAGATATTCAATTATGGGTAACACCAGGGAGGATGATAAATGGTGGCTTTTGCCTACCATCCTGNATTCTTAAATTGCAAATATAGTGAACTTGGTTAGTATCAAGTACCTTAAACTCATCCTCACTAGCAAGTAACATGCAACAATGTCCGGAAGCCTCAACAACAACATTCAACCTCTTCACAGTATAAGGTTTCACTGAACTGTTCCAAGTACTTCCTTTTTGAAACATTTTTTGAAGCCNCTGGCGGTAACTTCTAAGTCGATATTGCAAATCTGTTTGTTTGAATTAGAATTATTTAACTGGTTTTATGAATTTAACATCGAAATTTGGTTGAAACTATTGTTGTTTGTGTTTGTGAACTGGGTTTTTAAATTCAGGTCTGAACTCAAATAGAAGCTTGAGATCTTCTTGTTTGAAATAAGTTTTTAGAAAGTAGTTTCACATTTCTTATTCTGAGTACCGTAATTGACTGAGAAAACATTGATATTTTTCTATTGTTGTTTGGTAAATTCGTTGATATTTTTCAATAGAATTTAATGTTGGTTTTGGAATTTGAGTTTCCTGAATTTGGTTTTAGCTTCTTTTTACATGAAATTTGATATATGTATAGCTTCAAATTCTGAGTTATCTAAAAAGTGTATACATATATTTGCAGACATGTAGAGCTGGTTTTTTGAGAGCTGGACTTTTTTTTAGGATTATGCTATAGATTTCATTGAACAATTGGGTTTGAAGTTTGAATTCTGAGATGGAATCAAACAAAGAAGAAGCTCTTAGAGCTAAAGAGAATGCTGAGAAGCTATTTGCGGGAAAAGACTTTGCAGGGGCAAAGAGTTATGCTTTAAAGGCTCAAAAGCTGTGCCCCAAACTAGAGGGTATATCTCAAATGGTAGCCACGTTTGAAATTTATGCTGCTTCTGAGGTCAAAATTAATGGAGAAATCGATTTCTATTCTATTCTGGGATTGCAGCAATCTGCAGACAAGGCTAAGTTGAAGAAACACTACAGAAAGATGGCTGTGTTGCTCCACCCTGATAAGAACAAAACTGTAGGAGCTGATGGGGCATTCAAGCTTGTCTCTGAAGCATGGACTATGTTGTCAGATACCAACAAAAGAAGCTCCTATGATCTGAAGAGAAACATGAATTTGTCTGGGGTTTTTCAGACAAACTTATCTTCAGTTCAGACTGCTGGGTTTACAGGTTTTGACAATTGTTCCAAGTCTTCAGACTCTCATAATAGACTGGATACTTTCTGGACTGTGTGCACCTCTTGTCATGTTCAATATGAATATCTTCGGAAGTATGTTAATAAAAGACTTTCCTGTAAGAACTGCCGTGGTATTTTCGTTGCAGTAGAAACAGGAGCAGCCCCAGCAAATGGCTCTTACCCCTATTGTGCCTGGTCAAATGTACCTGATAATGGGCATAGAAGTCATGGATTTGGGGTTACATATATCCCAACTACTGCTGTGTGCCTTACAGGAAATGGGGTCTCTGGACCTCAGTCTGGGCACGGATCTGAGTATGCTTCTAATGCATCAGTTCATTGGAGCTCATTTCCTGGGGCCTCCACTGGAGTTGTTGATCTTAATGGAATAACTACATCAGCTGATGTTTTTCATCTGGTCAATGGGAAAGTCAAAAAAACAAAAGCCAACGGGAAACATCATATGAAAAATGTTGCAGTTGATATGGGTTCCAATGGGTACACCGTCTGTCATGAACTGCCGTTCTCCAATGTCGACCAACCCAATAAGAAAAGGAAGGTTGATTTGGGAAGTACTTGTCGGAATGGAAATGAAGCAGCAGCTTCCAGATCCGCTTCAGAAGTGAAGGTGGTCAATGGAAATGGAAATATCAAGCATAATAGTAAGCCCTCTGCTCCATGTGAAATTCCAGCCAGACGCTGCTCAGCTGCCCCTGCGTTCGATGCTAGAAAATTATTAATTGACAAGGCGAGGACAGAAATTCGAAAGAAACTGGAAGAAATGAAGTTAGCAGCTGCGGCTGCTGCTAATGAAATGGCAGAGAATGACAAAAAAACCCATATTGAAGTTAGTAAATCCAGTGAGGCACCTAAAAGAACAGGTTTGAGTGGTCCTAGTCATCTATCAGACCTAAAGAAACCTGGGTCTGTGTCAATAGTAGTCCCTGACTCAGACTTCCATGATTTCGACAAGGATAGATCAGAAGAATGCTTCAAGCCAAAGCAAATATGGGCTCTATATGATGAGGAAGATGGTATGCCTCGCCTGTATTGTCTGATCCGCGAGATCATCTCAGTGAAGCCATTTAGGATTCATATCAGTCACTTGAACTCAAAAACTGATAGTGAATTTGGATCTGTGAATTGGGTGGATTCAGGATTTACCAAAGCTTGTGGAAATTTCAGGGCATACAACTCCGAAATTGTTGACCAAATCAACATCTTCTCTCATCTTTTAAGTCGGGAGAAAGCTGGCCGGGGTGGTGGTATTAGAATCTACCCCAAAAGTGGGGCCATATGGGCTGTGTATCGGAATTGGTCACCAGATTGGAACAGAACAACACCGTGTGAAGTTAGGCACCAGTATGAGATGGTGGAAGTTCTTGATGATTACTCTGAAGAGCTTGGTGTCTGTATCACTCCTTTAATTAAATTAGATGGATTCAAGACGGTGTATCAGCGGAACACGAACAAGGATGCTATTCGATGGATTCCAAGGAGAGAGATGCTACGATTTTCACACCAGGTGCCATCTTGTTTGCTTAAAGGAGACACCACTAACTTGCCCGATGGTTGCTGGGATCTAGACCCTGCTGCGACTCCGGATGATCTTCTTCAAGCTGTAACCGAGGCACGGGCCAAAGAAAAGCCTAGTCATGCAGAAAACTCTACTGGAACTCCAGATGAGCTTTGTCAGTCTGGAACCAAAGTGCAGGCTCAACAAAAGCCTAGTCATACCGAATATTAGGCTGCAACTCCAAAAGGGCTTCTTCGGACTGTATCTGAAGGAAAACCTAGTCAGTCGGAACACCCTCCAAATGAGCTTCATGAGGCCGAAACCAAGACACTTGTTGAAGAGAAGCTCAGTCAAACATAAAAAGCAATGCAAGTCCAGATGAGTGTCTTCTGACTGTAACTGAAGTACAGGGTGAAGAAATGCCTAGCCCTGTTGCAAATTAAGTTTGGAAGGTCCTTTTTATCGTTGTTCTGACAATTATGACATTCAGAGTGTACAGATTTAAACCCTTAGTGAAAGGACAATTCTCAAAACAAAGATAGTTGAGAGGATCATAAAATGATCCACGGCATCAATACTTGATTGTTTTTGCTGGGTCTATGTTTACTGAACAATTTGTTACTGAATTGTCAGATCTATGAACTGCTATTTAACAGAAATGCTTGTGTCATTTACAGTAGGTGCTACTGCTTCTGTTATTTACCAAAAAATGGCGGCTTCACTTTGCATACAAATGAAGCTTTGCTATGAAAATATAGTTTGATATTGACTTCCATGAGAAAAGAAAGGTGCAGTTCTGGATCCTGAATCATCATGAAACCAAACTTAACATCAATTTGTACACCTCTCAAAAATAAATGGAAGAGCTCATCTTCAATAGAAATTAGCCGGAAGAGAGCTAGGGTAATCGTCAAATATAGATGCAATGGAGACCTTACAAGACAGCAGAGGAAAGAGTTTAGCACTCTCACAAGTGTATAACTAGGGGTTGTAAATGAATCAAACCGAGCCGAGCAGTATATCAAAAGTTACAAACCAATCACGTCAAGTTCTAGATTAAATAGATCAAGTTAAAACTCAATAGGGTTGAGTTACAGCCGATTTGAAAGAGTTAGAATTGATCCCAACTTGCTAAGCTTAATCCCAATTTTTGGTAGTCCTAATGTGACATCATTCTGTTTATCCCATCCGCATTTGCCAATTGATCTTCTAACAAATGAGGTTGGCTGATTTGAACTATTCAACTTCGTTCTTCTTATACCCATCCAAAACTGCAGTAAAATTTTATTTTCTGAATCCATTCTCTGATACACCAATAGCACAAACAGCTTCAACTCCCATTTCAAAATTGGTGAGCATTCTGTCAGGGATAGAACTCGTATCGACAACAGTTGAGGCATGTAGCCTGCCGGCAAACATTTTGGAATGAAGATCACCAGCCACAAGGAAGAAAAAGGAAAAAAACAAAGTAAAACTATTGAAGCACTGGTGACAGAACATTGTGATCATCCAATGAAGTAAGGACTGGTAACCATGACAAGATCACAAATGCAACGAAGAAAATGAAACTCAATCACATCATTCTAACCTAATGTTGGAAAAGCGACTTTGTTGATAATATTTGTCGTATACCAATGGCAAAATATTCATGAACTACACAGTTTACATAGTTACTTGCTGTAAACCCATTCTCAACTAAGAAACGCAGCACCAAAAAAAAAAAACTATGAAACAACTGAAAGTACTCATTTACAGTTGCATTTACTTCTCTCTTTGCCTATTCTAAGTATCTTACAAAATCTGCAGGAGAAATGCATCAACACCCTACAAAATTGCAATTCTCCATCAACCACCAAGCTTCAGAACAGGAATTCTGTCCCAAGCTCAGCCGCTGGAGGAAGCACCAGAGGATCAGAAAATTCAGAAGACCCCGACCCCAAGCCAGCATCGATTCTTGGCAGCATAAGTAAAGCAGAGCACTTAGAACACAAGAAGATCAACGGAATGGTGTCTTCATTTTCAATCCCGACGCAGTGGGTATGCTGCCACACGTCACAGTTGTCACAAGCCACCATCCTTTTCCCATCATCCTCCTGAACCCCACAATCGCATCTTACGGTCCAATTGTTCGGTCCACCTTGATACATCAACTCAGTACCCCAATCCATTCCACTACCTCTAACCCAAACTTCAAGAATTCCCTCTATTGACATTTCTCTATCCATTTCCTCCACATCTTCAACTTCATGTACCTCAAAATGCTCCATAATACAGTAAGTATCCCTCAGAGCACTCTGGGCAGCTTCCTTTAGCTCACCAACTGTAGCATTCAGTGGAACCATAATAAACTCCCCAGGCTGCAAAAGCCTAGTACAATCAAACAGACTTGGCACGACTCGACAGAGGAATCTCAACGATTGATCTTCTTCATCCTTCAATGGCCACTGCTTCACAAAGTGATTGCTCTCCAAAACTATGTGACTTGGCAACTCAACCAGGTCCAATCCCGGGCAATGCAGTAGAACGTGGTTATACAGATAAACCACATCATTGCAAATATCAGAACATGTTCCAGGAGCTGAGGCTGGATTTTGGCAGGGCACCATTTTAGGTTCTAATTCAGGGACCTGAGCACAATTGGCAAGTTCTTGACTTGCATATTCCAAAACCCCAGTTGAGGAATTAAAGTCACGACTTACAAGATAGTTACCAACAATCACTTTATTCAGTGATTTCATCACGAAATCTAGCAATCCTGTGTCTCCAACATGTACCCGAGCTGCATCACGCAGTTCCTTTCGAGAAATTCCACCATTGCCAGGCTTGCTGCCTTTCTTTTCTCTCAATACATCCACAATCCTTTGTGCTGCATATTGTAATCTTCTTGCAGGCCACCTGCTATCTATGCTAGCAACTGAAGTAGCAAAGTCCCTATATTTACCATGTTTCTGCTTTGAGATATCCTTCACTGTTCTGGTTAAAGGCTGTGGAGCAGAGGAAGTTGCAGAGGCACCCATGGTTGATTTTCTCTCTGCAGGAGATAATAAATTCAAAGTAAGCATGAACCAGAGAAGATCTCTGACTGTGGTCAATTGGGTTTCACTCAAATCTCTGTAAAACTGAACAATTCGCTTGATTTCTTGGCCTTGCTTCGTGTTACCAAAATTACAGATTATCTCATCAAGCGCGATTGAGCTTAGGTTCTCGATTGCCCTGTTATACTTGCACTCAGATATTCCAGAGCTCCCGGGGCAGAACTTGTAGCCCCATCTGCCAAACCAGGTATGCCCATATGCAACTCCATAAAGCAACCTAGTATGCATTGAATGCTTCTTTGATGCATCTTCCACTGTAATTTTCCTAAAACCAATGGAAAAAAAAACCGATTATTCAGATTCTTCCTTACTCATACATCAACTAAAACTTCAATAAAATGAGTAATTATATCACCTGGTTTGAAGATAAGTGCAGATACGATCCCAGATATCCATAATCTCTTTACCACGGAGATACTTTGAACCGCCTTCAATTCCATTGATGCATAGTAGATGACCAAACCCATTACAGTGTATTAAACCATGCAAGAGATGGGTTTGAATATGAAAAGCATTGTTCTGAAGAGGCTTATTCCATTTTCCATCTTCTGGAATTATCATATGATACCGATGTTTCGATACAAAATGATGACCCCAACCTGCATTATTTCAAGTTTCAAAATCTTTAAATTCCCATGTACAAACTACAAATATAAAACCTAATGACATTAACATCGAAATAGAATTTTCTGAAACCCAATTGGAAATTTGAAAGAATGATCACGTTAACATCGTCAAATCAAAACCTGAAACAAAATTTTCATGGGCTTGTATGAGATATTGAAACGTTGTTTAGCCTTACCAGAGAATGAGCAGTGGTGGCAGAAGGGTTTTGGTGAGTGCTTCACGGACTCTTGGACAATGTACAGAGGAACCATAAGGTCTCCGTTCTGATTCACAAACAAATTAGTGCGCCAAGTTGGCATGCCTTCCACATTGTAACCTTCAAGCTCCGAGCATTCTTCGAGGAATGCGAGAATGTTGTCTCGAAATGGACATGTGGGTTTGGTGAGGCAACTCTGGTTGGGAAATGTGTGGAAATTGTATTGTTTTTCTTTTCGTTTTCTCTTCTTTGTAGCTCCAACAGTTGTGATCGCCATGGAAGAGAGGTAGAAGAGAGACACAACTGAAGGGTACTAGACGCAGCAAGAGGGAGAGAGAGACTACACAGACTCTGTTTTTGAATTTGAATGGACTTGAAACACTTAAACAACAAGCTGTGAATTTGAATTCGAATAAATCGTCAACGAATTTAACGAACGACCGTGTCTTGTCCGAACCGACAGTGCTAAATGCGAGACTGACTTAAGCTGGTTCATTTTCTATACGAGCCTCTAACCGAGGCTAGCCCAGGCAGCTTTGAGTGATTCACACATTTGGATCGGATCCTCCATCCACTTTCTTATTACTTTCACTTTCCACTTATTATTTTCTCACACATACACATTTAATCAATCATATCCCCACTTTGGCGGGATAATAGTGTAGGTGGAGAGTTAAATGGATTTATACACGTCACTATCGGAGGGACCCAAGAGGAGGGTGTGAAGGATGGAGGAGGTGAGGAAAGAGAGGAGAATGGAGAGAGAGAGACGCTGCCTCCTCAAGGCTTAGAGCTTTGGGGATTACGTCCATCCAACTCTCTATCCTTTCTTATGAGAGGAGGGTGTGAAGGATGGAGAAGGAGAGGAAGTAGAAGAGAGAGGAGAGAGGAGAGAGGAGGGAGAGACAGGCGGCCTCCTCAAGGCTTAGAGCCTAAGGATTTACATCCATTCAACTCTCTATTCTTTCACACTTGGCACATGTGCTGCATCCCAATAAATTGATGACAAATGTTTCAAGTACTAATTAAGTAGTCAAACACACACTTACCTCGAGACCTTTTTGCAAGACCCTAGCCTTGGGACCCTAATTATGTTTACTCAATCTGATCCATAATTCTATTTATCTTGACACATATATCTCAATTTCTCTTTTTTCATTCTCTTCTCAGATCATACAATTTAGCTAGAGAAATATATCTGTGCATCCTAATTATAGAGAGACACCACATGTTAGCCCTTGCACGTGCTTGGCACAGCGACACAGTGGATTTTGTGTGACATTTTTTTCAAACTAAAACTCTCTTGGCCCACCAAACCACAACCTCCTTAGATTTCTCCAGGATTTACTATCGACGTGGCCATCTATGTGATAGTTTTATAATATTCTTTTTTTTTTTTTGTAGAATACGAGAAATTGTCACTTATCTTCACCGTCTACAAATAGTAATTTCTAACACTTCATTATTAAGAAGTTTCATCAATTTTAGTGTCATTTGACGGTATTCTATTAAAACTCTATGTAAATTATCAAAACTAGTGTTTTTTTGGTATCATTAGGAAATTACATAGTCTTTGACGCTCTCCAACATATGTTTTGAAATTTTCCTTTTTAGACTAGTTTTTCTTACCTTAACAGGAGCTTGCTTTCACTTCCTCTCTTATCCGTACTATACAAGCTGGAAGACTTGCATTAATGGATATATCAAAATCTAGCTTCTTCCCTGTAACTCCCCCTCTGTATTTCAAGAAGGTTGGTCAGGTCCAATTGAAAGTCACTGGACCTTACTAGCCAGAGGTTTACTGATATAACCAATGTATACACAGCACATGATTAACAATTTCTCTTTCTTTAACTAACTTGAGGATATTTTCAAGTTGTTCATATCGATTCATTCTCTACAGGAATGCATCAACAAATCTACCATTCTCTAAGTCAGTTACATCACTGAGGATTCACACACTATGGTACTCCTTGTCTATCAAATACTTTTTTCTACTTAGTGACTTCGAAAGGCAAACCACCATGTTGGCTACAATATAGATACCATAGTTGTACTACTTGACTGTTAAGAAAGAGCTTATGTAGGAACCAGAAGAGTTTTGTATGTATAGTAGCCCTCTCTTCTGCTACAAGTGGACTGTTGAATAGAGGCTGACAGAGCACCACTTGGCATGCTTTTCAAGCCCTTAGCTTCCGTTTATGTTGCCAGATTTTTCTTCAAAGTCTTCCAACTCCAGCATTAGTCATTTCATATCAAACCTTCAGAATTTTGTGTTTACTTATATCTTCTAAAAATTAGCCACATTGCCATGGCTGCCTCAAGATATATTCCCCAAATTGACTCAGAAATAACAGAAACACCCAAAAAAAAAAAAATTATCTTCTTGCAGCATTGTATCTGTACAGAGGCACAGTCATACTCATGTATTGAAAATTTTATATTTACATATCTTCTAACAGGCAGGCAATGCCTACAACTTACAACAATGCCGATACAGAAGAACCATAACAAAATTATTCCATTAAGGAACAAACAGACACCACAAGAAGTGATGAACATTCCAATTCCATTTTTGTAAATTCCTACAATTCAGAAGGGATGTCAATCCAATTAAGGCTGCCAACATGAACAACCATTTGAAACAAATTAGGCATACCCTGAAACATCATATGCTCAAATGTTTGGCTCTCGGGATCATAAGAAACAAGATTTCCACCTCTGTACTCTAGCAAGATCTTTCCATTCTTCAGAAGACACAGGACTCGAACAATTCTGCTATTGCAAACATTCTTCCAAATCCTGAATGGTCGCTGCAGATCTTGCTTCAGATGTTGCCTCACAATTGTTGGCAAGTGACCTTCAATGTTGTACTCTTTGATCCAAGACTCTTTCACATTATATTCCTTCATAGACCAAATCTCCAATCTACCATAACCTAAAGGCACTACTGCAGAGAGACACCCTCCCAGAACTGCCAAATAAAAGGTACACCTAGTTAGGAAAACACTGTCAGCTCTTGGTACCTCTCGGAATTGCTCGTCTGCTAGGTCAAAAGAGACTATGATTTGGCCACGAACCCCGTGACACTTTCCTCGTTGGGTCACCCAATGAAGCCTTCCATTCACTAATGCTTCTGATGACCTATCTAGCTGATAAGGTACTTTTCCAATACTTCTCCAAGCGTTACTACTCAGACCAAGTATTTGAACCTCTGAGTGTGGAAAGTCACGGATTCTAACTCTGGGATAACGCGAAGGTCTATTATGAGCATTATATGCATTGGCATAGTAGATTATTTTGACCACCTTGTACTCTTTGGTAACTGGGTGAAATCCAAATCCAAACATCACCTCTTGTTCTTCAAACTGAATAGACTTGGGCAGCTCTCTGTGTTTCCTTGTAAAAGGATTGTACACATAGAGCAAACCATCGAATAACGAATCAGATAAGCATAATAAGCCATTACATGAGCCTACCACATTAAATTCTGGCATAGAAGCAGAGAAAGGAGTCTGAATTTTCCTCACAATCTCTTTCTGATCAGAAAGCTCAACAAAATAGAGCTGGTTTCGAATCGGGTAGTCACAGTGAAATATAAGGCATGGATTGTTCTTCGCCGTTCGGGATAAGTGCAAGTTACCAAGAAGTGGATCATTTGACAAGATATGTGAGGCTTTGGATACAAACCTGAATTGGATGAGAGCTGTTGCAGGTAGCCTTGAAAGTATGTCTATGGCAATTTCATGAGGCAGGCTATGAATCCAATTTTCGGGTTGATCTTCTTCTTGCTTGCAGTTTCTTTTCTTGGGTTGTTTCTCACCAGACAAGTCCATGGAACACTCTGAGAATCAGAAGCATAAAGCAAAGCTAGAAGACTTAGGGATGAAGAAAGAAACTTTAGCAGATAAAACGGAGAAATTTGATGACAATAAATTAGTTAATACCAAAGGTGACGGAGACAACAAGTATTGTTGATTGGGTGCGGGACCACTTTCGAATAATCTTTTGAAACTAATGGAAAGTAAGTTTTTCTATGGACAAAACGGTTCAATCACGTATTTTTTGTACTTCTCACGTAATCAATACACATAATTACCATAAATCTTACGCATCAAATGATGTAACTGAATTTTTACTAGTTGAAATTAAAATCTCAAGATATCGAAATCTTACTCTTTTCTAACCAATGGTGTCAAGAATCTGCATCGGATGATCAGTTGATCACTAAAATGTACATTAATAGGCTCTTGACATGAGGGTTTGGTCGGGCAACTCTCGTTGGGAAATGTCTGGAAATTGTATTGTTTTTCTTTTCTTTTTTGATACCGTTTTGTTATTCTATTCGTTTTCTCTTCTTTGTAGCTCCAACAGTTGTGATCGGCATGGACGAAGAGAGGTAGAACAGAGATACAACTGAAGGGTACCAGACGCAGCGAGAGAGAGAGAGAGAGAGACGACACAGACTATTTTTGAATTTGAATGGACTTGAAATATTTATTGGGTTTTAGTGTCATTTAGCCTTGATAAACTTGATTATGAATAAAACCTATGGCTTTTTGTATAATTGGAAAAACCCAATGTTACAGTGAAACTAATTCATTAATTTTGATATTCTCTGATACATTTTGAAAACTTATAACTATAATAACAAAATTTGCTTGTATAGTTCCATAGCCCTGTTTATTTCAAAAAGTTGACCTGCTCCGATCATTGCAAGTCACTGGGCTTTACTAGCAAGAGTTTACTGGCTCAATCAACAGAACCCAAGATTATATCGGACGAAGTGTAAAGTCAGATGTTTTAAGTTTGAATTTTAACAATTGTTTGGAATTAGATCATAAGGGATGTATTCTTAATGAATACCTTAGTTGTGGTGTGGATGGAGGGAATTAATGAAGGTGCGCATAAATTGACCCGGACACCACTAACCATTGAACTAAAAAAAAAAAAAAACATTTTTAGGATAAATGTTTCGAAGGAAAAAGTATGGTATACCTTTCAATGTAGACCTAATTTAAACAATATGTACACAGAAGATGATTAACAATTTCTCTTTCTTTAACTAACTTGAGGATATCTTCAAGTTGTTCATATAAAAAAGCATCAAAAGAACCTGTTACTAACTAAATTTTCCTGTTGATTCTCTACCGGAATGCATCAACAAATCTGACCTTCTATCTTTCAATTTGGTCATTGAGGACTCACTCACTATACTACTTGTCCATCACATTTTTTTCTTCTGCTTGCTGAATTCAAAAGGCGACCCCCCGTGCTAGGCTAGAAGATAGATCAGATAGTTGTAGTACTTGACTGGTAGGAAAGAGATTCTATAAGAAAGAGAAGGCTTCTGTATATATGGTAGCTCTCTCTTCTGCTACAAGTGGACCGTTGCATAGAAGGCCGACAGAAGCACCCTCTTGGCAAGCTTTTCAAGAGCTTAGCTTCTGTTTTTGTTGCCAACAATATCTTCCAAAAATTAGCCACATTACCATGGTTGCCTCAGGATATATTCCCCAAATCGACTCGGAAATAACAGAAAACAGAAAAGAAAAAAAAATTAATATCCACTACCAAAGGAAACTAGTCCATGAAGCCTTATAAGTATCTGCAACCTCAGCTACCCTTCATAAAAACACCAAAAACAAATTATCTTCTTGCAGCATAGAATTTGTACAGAGGCAGAATCATACTCATGTATTGAAAATTTAATATTTACACATCTTCTAACAGGCAGGCAACAATGCTGATACAGAAGAACCATAACAAAAATTATTCCATTAAGTAACAAACAGACACCAAAAGAAGTGATCAACACTCCAATTCCATTTTTGTATATTCCTACGATTCAGAAGGAATGTCAATCCAATTAAGGCTGCCAACATGAACAACCGTTTGAAACAAATTAGGCATACCCTGAAACATCAGATGCTCAAAGGTTTCGCTCTCGGGATCATAAGAAACAAGATTTCCACATCTGTACTCTAGCAAGATCTTTCCATTCTTCAGAAGACACAGGACTCGAACAATTCTGCTATTGCAAACATTCTTCCAAATCCTGAATGGTCGCTTCAGATCTTGCCTCACAATTGTTGGCAAGTGACCTTCAATGTTGTACTCTTTGATCCAAGACTCTTTCACATTATATTCCTTCATAGACCAAATCTCCAATCTACCATAATCTAAAGGCACAACTGCAGATAGACACCCTCCAAGAACTGCCAAATAAAAGCTACACCTAGTTAGGAAAGCACTGTCAGCTCTTGGTACCTCTCGGAATTGCTCATCTGCTAGGTCAAAAGAGACAATGATTCGCCCACGAACCCCGTGATAGTTCCCTCGTTGGGTCACCCAATGAATCCTTCCATTCACTAATGCTTCTGATGACCTTCTGTCTAGCTGATAAGGTACTTTTCCAATACTTCTCCATGTGTTACTACTCAGACCAAGTATTTGAACCTCTGAGTGTGGAAAGTCACGGATTCTAAATCTGCGATAACGCCAAGGCCTATTATGAGCATTATATGCATTGGCATAGTAGATTATTTTGACCACCTTATACTCTTTGGTAACTGGGTGAAATCCAAATCCAAACATCACCTCTTGTTCTTCAAACTGAATAGACTTGGGCAGCTCTCTGTGTTTCCTTGTAAAAGGATTGTACACATAGAGCAAACCATCAAATAACGAATCAGATAAGCATAATAAGCCATTACATGAGCCTACCACATTAAATTCTGGCATAGAAGCAGAGAAAGGAGTCTGAATTTTCCTCACAATCTCTTTCTGATCAGAAAGCTCAACAAAATAGAGCTGGTTTCGAATCGGGTAGTCACAGTGAAATATAAGGCATGGATTGTTCTTCGCCGTACGGGATAAGTGCAAGTTACCAAGAAGTGGATCATTTGACAAGATATGTGAGGCTTTGGATACAAACCTGAATTGAATGAGAGATGTTGCAGGTAGCCTTGAAAGTATGTCTATGGCGATTTCATGAGGCAGGCTATGAATCCGATTTTCGGGTTGATCTTCTTCTTGCTTGCAATTTCTTTTCCTTGATTGTTTCTCACCAGACAAGTCCATGGTACACTGTGAGAATCAGAAGCATAAAGCAAAGGTAGAAGGCTTAGGGGTGCAGAAAGAAACTTTAGCAGATAAAATGGGGAACTTTGATAACGACAAATTAGTTAATACCAAAGACTAAAGGTGACGGAGACAACAAGTATTGTTGATTGGGTGAGGGACCACTTTTGAATAATCTTTTGAAACTAATGGAAAGTAAGTTTTTCTATGGATAATCACTTGTTTTTTGAACTTACATAATCAGAATACACACAATTACCATAAATCATAAGCATCAAGTGATCTAAAATAATTGTTACACAAATTAAATTTAGAATTTCAAGATAATAACTCATAATCTTATTCTTTTCTAATGGTGTCAAGAATCTACGTCGGATGATCATCTGATCACTAAAATGTACATTAATAGGATTTAGACTTGTGCAAATTAAATTGGCTCGCCAATTTGCAATGACAAAACTTGTGTCACCGTGATAGGTTAGTATTTGTGATGGGGATCTTGTAGGAATTAGATAAATATTTTTGTTTAATCATGAGAGTAATTTAATATTTATCTTTTAAGTATTTTCTTTTAATTTTTAAGGGTTTAGTTGTCATTTTGATTATTTATTTATTTTAGGGTTTGTGATCTCCTTATATATATAGGATTTATGAACTCCTTATATATATAGGAGATACATATTTGTTGAGAGATTAGACTTTGATTGTTGATTATTGATTATTGATATTGAATCTTCATATTGCTTCTTTCTAAAATTCTCTCTCTATTCTCATCATCTTCTTCTTCCCTTCTCATCCCTAATAAGATCTACATCAATTTGGTATCAGAACCCAACTTTGATTCGGGGGGAAAAAAAATTGTTCATCGAGATACTGTTCATCGGCACTGTCCAGTTAAAAAAAAAAAATTCACAAATCCAAGGTCTGTGCAGTAGAAAAAAAAAATCATTACTCATTCATCGCGACTGTTCATATTACAGAAGCATCCTCAGTAAATTTCAGAATTATAGAAACATCCCCAGAAGGTCCAAAAAATTGCAGAATCACCCCATAATTTTTAGCAAATTACAAAAATACCATCCAGAAGCTCTAAAATTACAGAAACATCCCTAAAAATTTCAAAAATTGCATAATCATCCCCATAAAGTTTTTGAATTTTAGAATTCCCTCAAAGTAAAACTTGGATTATGGTATGCATATTCCTATAGAAATTTGAAACTAATATTTATATTCATTGAAAAATTAAAAAAATTTGCAAATGGTCTAAATCATTTGTCAATTACATTCTTGAACTTTTTTTGGTGTCATTCTCTTGTTCCAAGACTCACTCATGAATATGTATGATACCTCTAATCTACATATTTATCCTAGTTTAAAAGTCCCTCCTCGAGGTCATCATCATAGCAAGTCTAGGTATGTCTACAAGGATTCAACACCTATTGCTAAATCAATTAAAGATCCTTCTACATTTTGTGGTACTCTAGATCCCAATCAATTCTTGGATTGGTTAGCTAATTTAGAAGAATATTTTGATTGGCATGGCATGTCGGATTCCCATTGCGTCTGTTTTGCTAAACTAATGTTGAAGGGTTCGGCCAAGAAGTATTGGCAAACAATCCAAAGAAGCCTAGACTCCTTAGGAGAATCACCTATCAATTGGGTTGAAATGAGATATAAATTGAAAGAGGAGTATTTGCCTACTTCCTACATGGATCAAGTTTATGACCAATGGCTCAATCTTAGACAACATTCT